TCGGGGTCTGAGATCCCCCCAGAGACCCTCGGGGTGGGCTCGGGGTCCCCCAGCGAGGTTCTGGTGGTGGGATCGGGGGTTGGGATCCCCCCGGAGACCCTTGCAGGGGGCTCAGGAGCTTCCGGCGAGGTTCTGGTGGTGGGATCGAGGTCAGAGATCCCCCCGGAGACCCTCGGGGTGGGCTCGGGGTCTGAGATCCATGGGGTGGCCTCAGGGTCCTCTGGGGAGGTTCTGGTGGTGGGATCGGGGGTTGGGATCCCCCCGGAGACCCTCGGGGTGGGCTCGGGGGCCTCAGGGGAGGTCCTGGTGGTGGGGCAGGGGGCTTCAGTCCATGGGGAGCCCCTCGGGGTGGGCTCGGGGTCGTCCAGCGAGGTTCTGGTGGTGGGCTCGGGCTCTGAGCTCCCCCCGGAGCCCCTCGGGGTGGGCTCGGGGGAGGTTCTGGTGGTGGGATCGGGGTCCGAGACCCCCGGGCAGAGCCTGGCTGACGTCCTGGAGCCCCCCAAGGAGCCCCTCGGGGTGGGCTCGGGGTCTCCGGGAATTCCAGAACCTTCCAAGGAGACGCCGGCAGGGGACTCGAGACCCCCGGGCCCCGAGGAGACCCCGGCCGGGATTTTGGACCCCCAGACCCCCGGAGAGACCCCCAGGATCATCCCAGGGGACCCCCAGACCCCCGGAGAGACCCTCGGGATCATCCCAGGGGACCCCCAGACCCCCGGAGAGACCCTCGGGATCATCCCAGACCCCCCCAGGGACCCCCAGACCCCCGGGACCCCCCTCCCCACAGAGCCGGAGCCCCCCGAGTTGGGCCCGGAGCCCCCCGGGGACCCCCCGGCCTCTCCCGGGGGGGCTCAGCCCGCGGGACCCCCCTGAGCTCCCCCAGATTTGGGGCTGGGACCCGGCCCCGCCCACGTGACCTCCCCTCACCCCAATTTCGGGACCCCCCACCCCAAATTCCCTCCCAGGACGTTCCCGGGGTCTTCCTCTCGTGTCCCCCCCTCCCCCCATGTTTTTGGGGGGGGGCTCAACGCCCCGATTGGGGAGGGGGTGGGGTGGGGGAGGGGCCGGGGGGGCGTGGCTTTGTCTCGTTCCTAAATCATTAAAAAAAAATGAAAGAAATGAACCCAAAATTGTGTTTGGGGGGGGAGAGGGGGAGGGGCCGCGGTGGGAAAGACCCTCCCGGGGGGAGGGGTTGGCCACGCCCTCAGCTGTCAATCATCGCTGTTTGGCCATGCCCTCAGCTGTCAATCATCGCTGTTTGGCCACGCCCTCAGCTGTCAATCATCGCTGTTTGGCCAATCCCTCAGCTGTCAATCATCGCTGTTTGGCCACGCCATCAGCTGTCAATCACCGCGGTTTGGCCGATCCCTCAGCTGTCAATCATCGCTGTTTGGCCACGCCCTTGGCTGTCAATCACCGCGGTTTGGCCACACCCGCGCCTGTCAATCACGAGATTCGCGTGTGGCCCCGCCCCCTCTCTGCCCATTGGCTGCTCCGCTCCGGCCACGCCCAGCGCCTCTCATTGGCTGTCCCCTCCAAGCCCCGCCCCCCGGGCGCTCCCACGCTGAGCGTGGTGGGGGGAGGGGGGGAGGGGGGCGGGGGAGGGG